TATTGATATCTCTTTAGTTACTTCAATTAGAAACATAAATTGTAAAAAAAAACTAATGTTTGTAAAAATGTTGTAAAAACTAATGTTTATAAATGTCGCCTTCTATCAAGGTACACTCAAGTAGACTGGGGGTAAAGACTCTTCTCTCTCCTATATAATAATATTTTTATTATTGTCTTTGGTATTAAACAAATTTAAAAATTCTGGAAGAAGACATTCTAAACTATTTACCAACTGTCATGTTTCGTGGGACACCCTATACAATCATGATTTATGACTGAAGTGAAATACGGAATGAAGAGAGTCTCTCTTTTTTATGGAAACCGCAATATAAGAATTTTGTTTTGAATGTTTAAAAGTCGCTAAGGATTTTGTAAATTGCAATACAACTGAATATTTCTAACACAAGGTGCTCAGATTTTACATTTGGTTTGGCGTGGGACACCTACATCTGTAACTAGTTTTTCGTGAATGTACAAAATCATTTAAATATAGAATTAAGAATACCGAACAATTACTCTCTCTCACAGTAATTTAGCTTTCAAATGTTTCTTCAACTGCAACATGTAAAGTTTTCAAATTCTTCTGTTTTCAATGGTGGATTTTTAAAAAATTTTGACAAATCAAAAAAATTTTATTTTGACATTTAACCTTCCTTTGGGTCAACACTAAAAAATGTGGTTACGACATGAGTACAAATTCTTCTTTTTATACCTTCTATTTTTTAATTTTTAACTAAATATTGATAAATATAAGAAGTTTTTATTCGATAAAACTGTTTTGATAAGAACTTATAACTTATGATAAGTTTTTCTCGTATCTTGTGTTTGAATGTGTCTGTTATATAATATAAGGCGCCAACATTTGCAATTTTCTTGGATGTCCCAAATATGTTCTAGCGGATGGCCCAAAATAACAACTTAAAAAGTCTTCGATCCCCATCAGGTCGTTTTAGATCTTAGATAAGTATATCTGAGGACCAAGCGTTTTAAGAGGTGCGCCTAATTATGAAAAGCTTTTAATAACATTTTGATTTTGAATAATAAAGTCAAAGACGACCTTTACGTTAAGTCGTCTCTCAACTAGCTTTGTTTAGCTTTGTGTGATGGGTCACATTTTAGAAAAGCATCAGATTTCTATGATTTAACCGTTTTTAATAAGATGTTAATTTGTGTTTGGAGTTCAACTATGCTGATTTTGGGACACACTGTACTCATGTACAACTACATACAGAATGTCCCTCATCATGTTGGATCATTAATGGATCTATTATTCCATTTTTGGGACTTATCAGAAAATTAAAGAAGAATGAATTATTTAGAAAAATTGTATGAAGGGTAATTTGAAAGTTTGCTTGCAGAAAATACTAGGTTTTTTAGTTTTATGTGCGCGTTCTGGCGTTAAGATACTCCAATATGATATGGGACACTCTGTATATTTTAACACAGAGGCATAAATATATTAATGAACGTATATATTTCCCTTTCATTAACTAAAACCTTAAACCACCTAATTAAAAAAAACCTTTTTTGTTTAGACGAGTTTTTTTCCTTATAAATGTCTACTTGAATTTTTTTTCAATTTGAACTTTTCTGGTTTTAATGATGCCCATATCAATTTTATCTTAAAAGTGTTTTTTTTATTTACCAAAAATAAAACTATTTTATTTTTACTGGCAAGTTTTAATTTGCATGAATTCCTGAGGTCGAATTTAAAGAATTTGAGTCGCGGCTTAAATTTAAGCCGCGGCTCAACTATGGTGGTTCCACTTAAAATTGTATTCAATTTTTCAAGATTTAAGCCGGCGTTCAATTGAAACCGGTTTTGGATTAATTTGAGACGCGGCTTAAATTCATTAAATTCGGACACTGGTGAATTAATATTTTATTTCCTTTCCACAAAACAAAATAAAAATTTGCAAAGACACTGTTTCTTTCCAGAAACTGTTCTTCAAACTTTAAGCCGTTGAGTAAAATTTCACTTCTTTATTTTTTTTCATGCTTAGGAACCCAGCTATGCCCGGAAACTAAACTTTCGCTATAAAGGCTGATCAAAATTTGAGGCAATTCTGTCATGGAGTTCATCAGTTATGATCGGACATACAAACAAACAAACAGAGATTCCTACATTTTATATAGAGATATGTGAGAGTTAAGAATATTAAGAGAGTTAAGAATATTAAGAGAGTTAAGAATTTTGAACTGTAAAAGGTGTTTCTGGTCAAACTTATCAAAAATAATTGAAACTGCTCAAATTGTAAATCTTGCATTCTCGTTTTTTTTTTGCATTTTAATATCTAAGGTTCCACCCTACTTGCCAATCTCAGGGTTAAGAACTCAGTATTGCTGTGAAATAAATTGATTTAGTTAATGCAGTGAATGCTCTGAAATAAAGGGACCAGAAGCTAACAGAGAAAGACTAAACTAAGGTTAAATGTTTTTAATCTTTCACGTCAAACTAAAGTTAAATAAATTTAAATTTAGAAATATTATATTTTTTATCATAACTCCTTTTATTGAAGAGCTTTTGAGAAGAACAAAAAAATTTGAATTTCTAAATTTGTTGTTTTCATACTTGTGCACAAAATACAAATTAGAGGAGCTACGAGGTCACAAAGTCGTAGCAGCAATGTGGCATAGATTTGACCTTTTCTATAGTCCAGTAGACGGTTATGTTCTTAAAATGCCTGCACATGAAAATAATAAAGAGGCGTTTTGAATGTATTCAATTTAACTATGCTTTTCGTTTAATATCAAATTTTAGTTTAGTTTTTCGAAACTTCTGATCAGTTTTAAAAAAAATATTTTTGATACCATAAAAATTGTTCTTCATTATTTTTTTCATAAAGTGTCAAAGAAGAAAAAGTTTAATTTATATTAAACATGATAATTACTTACATTTAGAATTTTCAATGATAATGAGCTCAACAATAAAGATAAGATGATAACAACTAATTAAAATAGATATTTTTTGTTGAATTAAGATAAGATCATATCTATCAAATCTAAATTTCTGATAAAATTATTTTTAGCTAAACTTTCTCCTACGAGATATATTTACAAAGATGACGAATTCTTAAGTTTTGGAATTGAGAATGTCAGATAGTGAAATTTTTAACTTTGTACAATATTAAAATAATTATTTAATTTGACCCGTTAAAATACGAGTTTGTGGATTTAAAGAGGCTAGGTTAAAATAAAACTCGGAAAATGTTAACAATATCTGATGTCCTAATTCATAAATATTTTTGCAACCCGATGATCACTGTTGAATCCGATTCATTTCAAGAATATCGAGGTTCTGTGAGAATATGTGTTCTAAAAGATTGATTCTTGCACTTCTAAAGATATTTCCGCTAACAAAAGATAAAAATATAAACGAAATTAGAAAATTTTCAGTAACAAACTAGCTTCATTCATTACATCTTAATGAAAGTTACATCTTAATAAAAAAGTTACATTTGNATCTATCTATCTATCTATCTATCTATCTATCTATCTATCTATCTATCTATCTATCTATCTATCTATCTATCTATCTATCTATCTATCTATCTATCTATCTATCTATCTATCTATCTATCTATCTATCTATCTATCTATCTATCTATCTATCTATCTATCTATCTATCTATCTATCTATCTATCTATCTATCTATCTATCTATCTATCTATCTATCTATCTATCTATCTATCTATCTATCTATCTATCTATCTATCTATCTATCTATCTATCTATCTATCTATCTATCTATCTATCTATCTATCTATCTATCTATCTATCTATCTATCTATCTATCTATCTATCTATCTATCTATCTATCTATCTATCTATCTATCTATCTATCTATCTATCTATCTATCTATCTATCTATCTATCTATCTATCTATCTATCTATCTATCTATCTATCTATCTATCTATCTATCTATCTATCTATCTATCTATCTATCTATCTATCTATCTATCTATCTATCTATCTATCTATCTATCTATCTATCTATCTATCTATCTATCTATCTATCTATCTATCTATCTATCTATCTATCTATCTATCTATCTATCTATCTATCTATCTATCTATCTATCTATCTATCTATCTATCTATCTATCTATCTATCTATCTATCTATCTATCTATCTATCTATCTATCTATCTATCTATCTATCTATCTATCTATCTATCTAGCTTTCTATCTATATATTCGTTTATCCATCTGTATATCTATCTATCCATCTGTCCAAACTTTCATCCTTTCACCTTTGCATTCTTTAATCCTTCCTTCCTTTCATACTTACATTCTTCCTTTCTTTCCTACTTTCATTCTTTCATTCTTATAGCCCTTTCATCCTTTCATTCTTTCTTTTTCTTTATTTACTTTTTTCATCCTTCGATTCTTTTATCCTTTCATCTTTTTATCCTTTCATTTTTTCATCCATTCATGCTTTTAACCTTTCATCCTTTCTTCCTTTCTTTCTTTCATCCTTTCATTCTTTCATCTTTCATCCTTTCACTTTCATCCTTTCACTTTCATCCTTTTATTCTTTCATGTTTTCATACTTTCTTCCTTTCATTCTTTCATAATTTTTCATCCTTTCACTTTCATCCTTTTATTCTTTCATCCTTTCATTCTTTCGTCCTTTTATCCTTTCATTCTTTCATACTTTCCTCTTATCCTATTCTTTTCATAATTTAATTTATTTATTTTCTAATATTTCCAGTGGATCATTTTTTTTCTTCTAAATCAAGCCTTGTCCAAATTCCACCCATACGTCTCTTCTACTAGAAAAAAAAGCCTAGTGACGCAAGGCTCTGCGTAAAAACTACGCATCACATACTTTCCACATTTTTCTCCTCCATTCCCCGCCATGTTCGTGCTCTATGCCTGAAACCCTGTTCAAGGCATAACGCCTTTAGGCGGGTTGCGCCCCTGTCGTACCGCGCCCCGTTGGATTGGGTTCCCCCCCGCCACCCCGCCACTCCGCATCCTCCTGATAAAAGAGACGTTCCATCCACCCTCCGCTCAGTTCTTCTCCGCACTCCGCTTCCTTCTGTTAGACTAAACCAAACCAAACCAATAAATCAAGATGGCCGACACTGAAGTTGCACCTCAGGTGAAATATTTTCCACACTCTTCAAGTAGTGTCGGACCTGAGTCAGATTTTGAATTCAATTTTGTGTTGAGAACGATGCAAGAATGGGTTTCAATGCAAAGTTTGGAGGTATCCACTCTATTTTCCTGTTAAGGGGGGTTTCCTTGGTTTTATACTCATCAAATAAATTCAGAAAGTTAAAAAAGTATTATTTTTCCAAGTTCTATGTTGTGTTTTTTTTTCTAGAGGATTATTTTAATATTATTTCAGGTTGCTGCTGGCGAAACCGTTTCAGAGGTTTGTGAGAGAACTGAGGAGCTGAATGTTGAAGAAGTAGCCGCAGCTGCTCCTGCTGCAGAAGAGTCTGAAGCAGCAACTGGAGAAGCCGCTGCTGATTCTTCTGAAGGTGCAAGTGAAGAAGCTAAAGAGGAAGCTGCTGAGGGCAGTGAAGCTGCCCCTGAGGCAGCTGCAGAGGAAGGTGAAGCTGCTCCCGAAGCTGAGGCAGCAGCAGAAACTGAAGCTGCTTCCTCTGAGGAAGCTCCCGCTGAGGAGAGCAGTTAAAGTCAGTTGGTGTCATAAAATTTATTTTTTGCTGTAAGTTTAGATATAAGTGTAAAGTATCAATAAATATTAATCCAATATTTTAAAAACTTTAAGCCAGATTAATTAATTTTTAAATTTCTATAAGTCTATAACGTGTTTTAAACTGAGCTATTTTGTGTATTTAAAAGTTATTTCTTGATTATTATCATTTTTGGATGTTTTCGTTGTGTTATTTTGAGTTATTATTTTTCTCAGATTCGATAAAAAAAATATATTAATGTATTTTCGATAAAGTGTTAAAAATTTTGGGATTTTTGAAGATCACCAAAATATAAAAGTCTGAACTCAATTTGAAAATATTGGGCAGATTTCTAGAGTAAGAAACTGATTTTTTGCCACAAATTCATATTATCAAAATCATGTTATTTTAAACTTAGTGTATTTGATCTGACATGAACACATGATTGAAATATCAGAGGTCTACGACATACAAATACAGGGATTAAAAATCTGATCTTGTGGCAAAGAATTTAGTTCCTTTAATACATTATACAGTGGCCGAATTTAAAGAATTTGAGCGGCGGTTTAAATATGGTTGGTTCTACTGATAATTGTATCAAATGTTTCAAGATTTAAGCCGGCGCTGAATTTAAACCGGGTTTTGGCGGATTTAAACCGCGGCTCAAATTCTTTAAATTCCATCTCTGGATTGTTAAAATAAACTGCGATTTACAGGACTAATCATAAATTTTGAAAAGATTGAATCAGTTCAAAAAAATTGTATAATAAAAATTTGCATGCAGAAAATACTAGGTTTTTCGAGTATTTTCGAGGTTTTTCAATCCAATATGATATGGGACGCTCTGTATCATGCATTGAAACATTACTGCTTAATATCCAAACTTTTATTCACTACTGGCAAATGATAAAATTTCCCAAATCAAAAACCTATTTGATTATCGAGTCGACCAGCGAATAAAAATTGAGTTTGCCCTTGGATTAAAAAAAAGATAACAAACAAATTATCTTTTTAGTCAAAATAAGCTTGAAAATAAACTTTATTGTATAGACAGAATTAAGCAAAATAGTCAATGAATCTAAGGAATATTTCTCAGTGGAAATCATGACTTATTAAATAATAATTCAAATATTAATGAAAAAAGTCACATATTATAAAAGTATTTGATATCCTGTATCTTACTCGAAATTTAAAATTCGGTGATGGTGATGGACCAAACCTCTGTAGAGTAAAAAAGTAGATGATAGTTCCACAATCCAAATTTATTGAAAATATATTTTGGTCTGGGTTGACCCTTGTCAGTTCTAACGATATAATAACCATCAAAATCGATAAAAAAAAATTGTAAAAATTGTAAAAAATCACAAGAAATTATTGATACTTTTTTCTGTGACTTGGATTGAAAACAAAGTTGAATTTTTTATTGTGAAAATTATTTTTAAGAAGAAATAACTGGGTCTTTGTTTTTTACTTAACTAAATAAAATACTATCTTAGATTCCTGGTCTTAGGCTTTAGTTTAAAGAGTTGCACACAAGAAATAAGTCTTCAGAGACGACTGTGCGGAATTTGTTCATATTTCTATGGTTCCCTCAAGCTGTAAATTGGTGTCTTTCTTTGCTAAATCAATAATTGATAACCTACATTGTAGGCAGAAATAACGTTATAGATGATTTCTTATTTAATCCTTCTTGGATTTAGAAATGTGAGCCCTGCATTCTGACATTCATTGTTTTTACATCCAATGCGTAACTTGCTTGGAGATATCAAGTTGGAATGCGAATATATACAATTTACGCGGGAAAAAACATGATTGACTCCAAGAATGTATCCTTGCGTCAGCGTAACTCATTTCTTACGCAATATACGCAACTTCTTCATAGCTCACACCTAATCCATCATAGCATTTGTTTCTTCTTAAACATTTAAACTTTAATACTTGTTCCAACTACACAATTCTTTATTTTTTACAGATACTTCTGACGCAATTTCAAGTGCTCCTATATTTATAGAGTGATGCATGTTAACGGTACCTTAAAAGCATTTTCTGATCAGAGCCCGCGATTTAAAAACTTCGGCTCAACAACAGCTTAGACCCGAGTCGTATTTTCTTGAATTTTTTAAATCGCCGGCTCTGGATACGTTCACCCTTGAAAATTTGCAATTTTTATTTGTGGTTTCTTTTCAAAAGTGACCCATGCGCGCATTTAAGCTTCAGAAACATGAAAGATTTATACACTTGTCAAGCTTAACGACGATATCTTTCACATTTAAGTGGAGTTCTTTCAGACCAAAAATTTATTTTCAAATTTTGTTTTGAATAAAACATTCTTTAACTTTGAAATTATCTGAGAACCTTTATATTCTAGAATTTTTCATAAGAGAACATAAAGTAATTTTATAATTTATAATTTAGCGCACAATTGGAATTTTTCTATTTTTGTTAGAAAGATTTTGCATTAAACGGGTAGTATTCGTTGATTATAATAATATGAAAATTAGAGGGGTGCTTTTTGTGATAAGAAAAGGGAAACGGAGGGGTTTACAAGGGTGCAAGTATGAAAGGGAGGAGGGGGCGGGGAAGGTTGCGGAAGGGGTGGGGTAGGGGTGCGGATTTTGTATTTCCGTTGCCTCAAGGGTTTCCTTCATATTTAAGTATTAACAAATTGTCCCAAAAAACTGTCTTTAACAAAATTTTCTGTATTTTATCTAAATAATTTCTACAAAAAAAATATAAATAATATAAAAAACAAATGAAAAAAATCCGCAATTACTTTTTTTGAACAGCCTGTATTTAAGAATGTATATTGTAATCCCTCGTGTAACCAAAAATAGTTCTGAATATCAGAATTAATATTTAGGGTATGTGGTTTCTAAACAATATACTGTTATTCAAACTATATATTCTTTATTCATATTTTGCGGGCGGGGTTTAAAGTGAAATCTTTAACTATATCTGTTCATTCGATCTTTAGATTAAAGGAACTGTGGTCGTTTTTTAAAGTGACATTTACAGAGGGGCATGTAATCTTTAAAGCTATTTAAAGAATTTGATCCGCGGTTTAAATTTAAGCCGCGGCTCAGATATGGTTGGTTCCACTTAAATTTGTATTAAATTTTTCTAGATTTAAGCCGGCGGTCAATTAAAACCGGTTTTTGGGGGATTTAAGACGTGGCTTAAATTAATTAAATTCAGACACTATTAAGATAATGTTCAACTATTCATAAATTAATTTTTGGGTACTCTACAAAAGCAACTTTCCTAAGGTGTTTGTTTGTTTGTATCCAATAAACGTAAACACGACTGAACTAATGGAGTAATAGACGGACATAGATTAAAACATTTCGATACTTCAAAATCCATAAAAAAAATGATAAATCCGTAAATTGTTTTTGTTTATTGTTTATAAATGCTGCAGATATAAAGCAACAATTAAAATTAAAATAGAAGAAGCTTTATACTTAATAAAGGCAATTTGGGCATTATCTATTTGTTTTTGTTTCCCAAAATCATACATTTTATAATTTCTTAACATTTTTTAAATTATATTTTTCAAATATTTTGTATTGTACAGATATAATATATGTATATATTTCTTACTGAATATGAATAACAAAAAAAATTCTGTATTCTAATAACATTTGTTTTATCAAAGTAATAAATTTTTTATTTAAACAATTGTGTATAAAACTGACATCAAATCTCAATAGATGACGCATCTATTTAAATTGAATTGAGTCAAAAAATTGTTTAAAATATTTAGATAAAATCTTATCCATCCCACCCATACGCCTCATGCATATCAGTTGCTTGCATTTAATACTTTTATTCATTCATTCATTCATTCATTCATCCATCCTAATAACTTTTTTTTATCGATCTTCATCCATTAACCTATTCATTCTGTAATTCATCCTTGTTTAATTCATTATTTTCATTCATTTCGGATAAAGAATAAAATGTGCACAAAATGGCATATTCATTATCTAAAGATAATTTGAAAAGCTCATTATTTATTTAGCGTTAAACATATTCTGAACTTGTATATATTTATATCCAGAAACCAGAACTTGTATATATTTATATCCAGAAACCAGAACTTGTATATATTTATATCCAGAAACCAGAACTTGTATATATTTATATCCAGAAACCAGAACTTGTATATATTCATATCCAGAAACCAGAACTTGTATATATTCATATCCAGAAACAACCAGAACTTATTCCGACTTTTGGATTAATTAATTCCTCTTCGAAATATGGTCATATTCTGCAGGTTTAACTTTTAGATAATTTAGGCAATGTATTCCATTTGAAGAATGTTTTCCACGTGGATAAAAAAGTGAAGATTTAGGTTTGACTCTAATTTACCATCCATGTGAATGCCAATGGCTCTTCTAGACAGCTGACCGTGTCCGTGGATTTCTGCTGAAAAAGACTGAAATGTTGTCCATTCGAGTCAGATTCAAGTCTGAAGTGAAGGTTCAATTAAAAAAGACATTAACAATTTCTTTAATCAGAGCTGGGAACTTTAGAATGGTGGATATCGAGATCAATGCTTGATCCTCTATTTTTCTTAATCTCAAAACTAACTTAACAAAAGTGTTTCAGAAGCCGGGAAATTTGAAATTTTGCGTGCCATTTTAGATTACTATACACTAAACAGAAACGGGAGAATCTCTCTAATTTTTAGAAACCGGTTTTTGAATTTTGTGTATCTATATCCAAAAAAGAGTGGATTAAGTCGGAAATTAAAAGTGTTCACATTGGATATTCGGATTAAGCAGTCGGGATTACAGGTATCCCATTCTAAGGTTTCCAGCTCAGGTTCTGTATTTTTAAAAGTCGGAAAAAGTTTTTTGTAAAATGTTTTTTTTTTAATGTGGAAATAATATTTGCTTTTTTTACTTTATTGTGGTTTTCTAATCCTTACAACGTTGCCACCAAATGTTGAAGACCTTCAAAGATATAGAAATAGGAAAATTTGATTTTACTTATTCCAGTGTTTTCCAAACATGTTTATTTTTCATATTCAGTGAAGCCAATTTTATGACCAATTAAGAAATTTATTATTGAGTTCTTAAT